AAAATCATCCAAACGATCCTGTTCCAGTTGTCTCTGTTGAAGCCATGGTCCAATTAAAGTCTTCGATGAGTATTGCTGTGCCCAGGCGCTACGATCCATTGGGACAGATTCGTAATTGGTTAGTATTGATTGATCGGTTCAATCCCCTTCACATTGATCTGTGAAGCATGACATGCTCCTTTGGTTCTGTGATCACGTGACCTGGCACGTGAGTTCGCGGCACCATATTTCTACGCGGGTGGACTGCGTTGTGAGTGAGGACAGGCCGCTTCAAGTAAACTCTGGTAATAAACATTTTTATACCAGTATTTAGTACAATTGAATTGTATAATCACGAAAGGTCTAAAAGATTAGATGGAAATCAAAAATAACATTTCATCCACTGTGGCTTTGTCATTAACTGATGCTTGCTGTTATCCACTTCGACTGCTAGAACGAGGTAGGGAAAATGGGAATTGCTCACTTTGTGCACCGTCCTATGGTCTTCCAAAACTGAGTACCTTCTGTTAGAACTGTTAGAACTCCATTAGGTATCTGACACCGATGTACCAGACGGTCTACAGAAGCAACATAACATTCACTATGTCTGTTGTTTTGTGTCCAAACAAACTAGAACTCGAGATAATCTTTGATGAACTCATTTGTATCGGTTGACCCAAAGGTGAATTCGAAACAGATAGCAGATAACTTACTAGTAAAAGGTACTCTGTTAGAAGTTAGAAGACATTAACGATCGTTGTGTTCTTAGACATCCGCGCAGCTTTTGACTCCATTGATGAAACCCGTCTGTCGAACTGTTTGTTCAGAATTGGAGTACTAGAGAAGTGTATCGATCCTGAAAGAGTGGTGTCGTTATATCTCAGGTCTAATTGGAGACTGTGGCCAGTTTTCACCACCCTTTGCGGTCTCCAAGGCTACTCAATATCCTTTTTCCTCTTTAAGTTTACCATAGAAGGTGTTCTGAAGAATAGTTTGACCGGTCTAGTAAACGGCGGAGTTGAAATCCTACTAGGAAACAGGGTTCTTGACTAAGTATATGCCGATAACATCGTCTTGCGAGTGACAATAAACCCACAGTTCAATACGCTTTAAATGACTTGGTGGTAAAGGTATCCGTGTATGGTTTGCGCTTTGTACTATTCAAATAAAAAGTGTCTGTTCAAGACTGATAGGTGCATGTGCCTCCGCCCACTAGTTGTGGTGATTCAATGTAAGTGGTTGAAAGCTTCACGTACCTCGGCAGCTTGGTTGGAATCGGGGTTGAGGGAAGAGATCACATCAAGAATAGCGAAAGCTAGGTCATGTTTTGCCAAAGTGCACCACCATGGTATTCTACTGTTCCTTGAAGGAGGGTTATTGTTGCGAGTCAACCCTCTTAGATGAAGCCAGTCAAGCACCTATTTGGACATTGGGCCATGGACCAACAGTGTCGATCAATAAATAGTCATAGAGTTCAACAAGAAGCCGAGTGACTTGAAGAACAGGGACGGCTATTGGTTGATACTTGTTCAGATATTTACAGATTTACATACTATTTAATCCCATTGATTTCTTTCACTAAACGAACCGCTGCTTCTGTGGACTTTTTCCTGCATCTCGATGATGGGAGATCCAGGTGTACGATTGCTAGTGCAATTCTGTGCCTCTGTGATCCGTAATCTGCACCTACTTCGATTACTGCATTTATACGTTGCTGCCGTTCGTAGTGTTCTGCTTTATGGTTGCGTGACCCGCCCCAACCCCCCCTCCTCCGAATTGAGGATGCCAATGGAATTTCTGTATTTGACCACTGATGTTTCATGTCTGATGGAAATATCGGGTGTGCAATGCCAGGGTTCGTCGTCGTATGTTGGGTTTGGATAAACGTTCTCATAAAAAACTAATGGTTCCACATCACCTGCGATGACTTGATCATATTAAGTGTATGTCTGTCCTTCGTCTGTCTACCTTTCCGTACTCACTTTGCATGGGCTAAACAAGGCGGTCCGACCATGAAGTGACGTAGTGGTATGAAGAAGCTAGCTTCAATTTAGGCTTCGATTGGTGCAGTCCGCCTTCCAGGTTGGGGCCAAAGGGATGCGGATTGTCATTGGTTAGAGACACTGAGAGATATGGCCCAGAAGTCAGTAACCCGAACGCCATGCGATCTACCCGTTGACACACCGTGATTTATAAAAATGATAAACTAACACGAAAGATATGGCGGTGTCCGGAGAAACAAACAGCATGAAAATCGTTATTCTTGTTATCCTAATCTACTGTCATTGTTTGATTTCCATTTCGCTCTGTTTGGTATTCTCATGCACCCATCTTCTGTCAATATTGCTGTTGCACTGGCACCATGCTTGTTCACCACCCGGTGATATACATATATAACTTTAGAAGGTGTTTTGGGGAACCTTATTCCCTTGGCTTGTGCGTAGTTTTCGATTCGTCTCATAACTACTTGCGAGTAGTAGTGTGGATAAAGATTATTGGTTCAGACAGCCCGCACTCGGTTCATTCAGACCAGCATACACTTGGAAAAATACAGTCTCCTGTTTTAATTGCTTTGGAGATGATGAACAGTGAAGATCTACCGGTTAATTTGGGATTTGGACTTCGAGCCCCTCATTCGAAAAGTAAGTTGCGTGAATTAAAAGGGCCTATCTAAAACCAAACTTGGTTCGGTGTACTAGGTTCGGTTAAAGTCTGAGAGAAAGTCATCGAGACGCTATGACAGCCGAACACTTGCCTGAGAGAGACCAAACAATCAACATAGAAAATAATGAACGAAAGAAAGTAAAATAATCGCAATAATTGTCTTTTTTAGTCCATTTGGCTAATGATTATTGTTTATGCTACCGAAAGGGAGCTCTGGCAAATCATTGTATTTTTGAAACTAAACAGAATGGAGAAATATGGGTAGTGATCGAGGAAAGAGTTTGGAAGACGACCCCGTGACAATGATGTAGACCGCTTTCTGTCACAGCAGTCCAACAGTTCAACGTCGAAGCCTCAGAGAGAGAGACAAGTGTATCCTCGTTGAGATGCTCATTCAGTTGAGAGAGAGAAAAAGGTTGTATATGAATTTATATGGTGAGAATGAGAGCATGGTATCTGACCTTACTTATTCACAGAATGTTGTCGATAAACCCTAGTTGATTGCCGTGTCACATTATGCACCGGACCGTGCT